TTCTTTTTGACCGGTAACTTATTCGGCAGAGTAAACCTTGCATGGTTGTAGACGACACGTAGTAGGATTATAGAAAGAAAGTTTTACGTAAAACACATGGAGGGATGACGTCGAGTTCTCACCTCACCCTGGGCTTGCTTCTTTCGCAAACACGCAATTAAACAAAACAAGCAGATTACGCATTTAACGAGAGCGGTAAAGTTTGAACAGTATCTTAGCTGTCTTGATAAGTCACGTGAATTGGTATGCTGGACGTGCAGCAAGGCCCGTTTCGAAATTGTTCATGTTTACTTCTTGTTGACTTAAAAGTGTTAAAATCTTGGTGGTCCAATCATGTAATACTAAAATTTAAAAACAAGCTTATCTCATATCTTTAGTTGATTTTGTTATCTTTGGCTAGTTGGAATTTCGTCAATCGTGTAAATATATCATAGAATGAATTTCACAATTTGGGTTGCGGATAAACCATATGGAAAATAAATACAAACGTATATTAGCTGCTGTTTTCCACAAATCAAATCAATTTTCTTTAACCGTTATGTAATATGACAATAAACTATATCATTGTTTTTTATATATTAGTATAAATAGATCCACAAGTAATATATGGCATGCTTGAAAAAACTATCAGATCTACTCACGAGACTATACACTTGTGCACGTGCTACATTTCATGCATTCATCAGTAAACAACTGTGTTAATTTAATGGTATGCCACCCACATAAATTAAGTCCATTATGTCTTAATTAAAGAATTCTTAGAGGCCCTTGTAATTCAATTACATTTTTCTTGCAATACAGTTATATATATCTGGTATTTTTCCCACTATTTTCAAGAGTTATTCGGTTGATGATAGTAACGTACTTAGTATTTAAATAGGGTAGGAAGTTGAGACTGTTGCGTACGAATTGCTTGTTTTAAAGATGATGTCCACCCTTGTGCACATGCGCGAACTTTGTTTACGTTTTGAACTGCTATATTTGTAAAATATGATATACTAACTGAATATCTAACACTTTTCTGGTTCGCTTGTAAATGAATATAAACTGTACGTTTCAATTCAAAAAAGTTCGAAAGATGCAAAATTTGGGCAATGTTTATATCTGGGGGTCCCCTTTGTTATGAGCAGAACTGATGCGCATAACGGGGTGGACATCATCTTTAATGGTCCTACCATTTAAAACAACTAGTACTGTTTCTCATCAAGAGAAAGATGGCGATGCATGTGTGAGCCATTAAGTTTGTTAAAAATACATGCCAGAACTTAATTGCGCTAACCCATGTACATGTCACTTGCGCTGCAGTTAATGAAAGATGTTTTTGTTGGGACTTGTATTAGGGAGGCAATCATGATCAGACAAAAGAGTTTCACCTCGAATCTTGGCATATACTCAACGACCAGAGAACATTTTCGATTTTTCACATTTTCAGTCATTTAAAAGTTTCCATTTTCCAGATGATCCGAGAAACAATTAGAATTAGAAATTAGAATTTTCACAGTGAAATTCGAGTATCACATATTTTTTTCACACATGGAATTAAATTAAGGTTTACAGGTGAAAAATTAATTCACATATGATTTTTTTATTTCGTATGCGGAATTGAAAACTCCACAGTGAAAAAGTAACCCGCGTCTGCTGCAAAGCCACAATCCTTATTTGCCGGAAGACTAATTAGCAGCTACGTCTTATGTATTTTTTTCCCGCCGGAATCCTAATAAAACAGAAATTTGCCCAGTTTATAGTGTTTGTACCTGCCTTTCACCTCAAACGATCTGTCGGAGTAACCATTTAACATGAAATAAAATTCTCCACTAAGTTGCACTAACTATATTTATAACATTTATGGGCAAGAATATTTTCCGCTGCTTATCTCCGTATATAGCAAATCATACGCCCCTACTTAATACAAGAGCTTAAAAAATTTAATCCTCTAAAGTACAGCGCATTTATCAGTATACTAGCAATGTTGTAATTAGCGTAGACTTCCCTCAACAAATTAAAGCTGTATGAAATATGTTAAAAAAAACGCAATCCATGTTTATGCTGTAGTTTCTTATTAGAATTAAAATGCGTAAATGCATGCGCCAAATAGCGCATTATTTTTCTTAAAAAGGTAAGGCACTGTTGTAATTAGCACAGCGTCTCTCAACAAGGCTAAAAAAATGTTTAAAAAATCAGCAGTCTGCGGTTTAATACTGTTTATGCTATAGCTTTACTCGTCAGTGTCTAAAATATCACCAAACTGTGCATCTCAAACAGGTAGAATAATGTTTTATTAGCGATATATTTCCCTCACCAAGGCTAAATAGTGTTAAAAAACCCAGCAATCTATGTTGATGCTTTAGCTTTCTCTATATACTCACCTCCGCAAAATAGCTCATTTATCTTAAAAAGCAACTAGTGTTGCAATTATGGCGACAGAGTGGACTTTCCTCAACCAGAGCCAAGACCAAAATATAGTGTAAAAGCAGCCATCTGTGTTTATGCTATATACTTATTCATATAATCATATTCCCTATAGTATTAGTGCGAAAACCACCAAACTAGAATGGGAAATGTTGATATAGCGGTATTAATCTGAAGTGACTATCGTTTATTAGTTAAATAAATATAGTTCTCGAGAACACCTTGTGTTACATGGACCAAAGCGATGAGTAAAGTGTTCCAGCAGACAAATAAATCAGGAAATCTTAACTACTTAGATGTATTCGGGTTTAATCCTCCGTAAGAAGATATTTGTATTCCGACCTTCGTACGTAGTGATCGTCAGGGATGAGCTAATGTGTGCATCAACATATATAGCGCAAGAGAACACGGACAATTTCATAGTTGTTTTGAAGTTCGCATTGAATGGTATACATTTCATATCGCACTGAAGTTCCCAGAAAGGTATGTACGACCTTATATGGGATATCAACTATATACATATATATAGTATATATATCTATTGGCTGCATGCATTTATATATAATTTTATAGCAAACAAATAAGTTTTTTTTTGTATTCAGAAAAGGCTAAATTAAATTATGATGTAGTAGAATACGAATCGATTTTCATGCAATATTGAACTATTGCCGAGTCAAATTGATTAGGCATTTTGATCATCAGCTAAAAATTAGCATAAAATATCTGCATGCCTATATCAAATAACATTTGGTCAGACTTGAATGATAAATAACGCATGCATGTACAGCTTAAGGCCACGTTTTTCTCGTTGGATTACGGCCTAGGAGGGGAGGGGAGGAAAAGAACTATAAAAAGAAAAAAATGTCCAATATCTAATGCCGTGCACTGCAGGCACTGTGGCATTTCACATGGCGTGACCATATTCTCGCACACTTGATAGGTTCGGTTGTCTTGCCCGGTCAATATTTAAGTTTCCTAAAATATGGTCGGATGGGAAAAAACAACACATGAGAACTGATGTGTAGTCAGGGACGTAGCGATTAGCGAAGCATCTGATGTTGGGGGGCGTGTCGAAGGATTTTACCTGAAATTTGAACTTCGATGTTTAAAACTGATTTCATAGTTGAAGTGTAATAATTATAATAGAGCATTATAATAGACAATTTTCTGATTGATTTCCTCTGTCATACTAAGCTTACGAAGAAAAGGGGGTCTCGGGATTCTCCGCCAGAAATGTTTACATTTTTGAAGCTCCAGCACTGCATTTCTGGCGTTTTCTAAAGCAAATCGCAAACGAATTGGATCTAAATTGAATCTATTTTACAAAAATGGTTATCATTTCACAAAAATAACGACTTTATTACGCAAATTTTACCTGAGAATTTCAAAATTTTAACTTGAATTTCACCCGACTTTTACCCGAGTTTCACAGTTGAGGGGGGAGGGAGGGGGTTACAACCCTCACCCCCCCGGGCGCTACCCCCTGGGTGTAGCTTTTTTTTAAATACGCTTGAAACGCTGAAGTTCGTTCTTAGTTAGCTAAGTTCTTTATAAAAAATTAAACCGTCCTAGATTAGCGGTCAAGGGTGTATGTTTTTGTTTACTATCATGTTGAAACATAGACAGGGGCATTGAAGTTTGCTCGTTTTCGGGTTGGACAGAAATGGTTGCGTGTACGTGTTGTTTGATTGTGTAATTATAGGCGAAGCTAAATAAATAAATAAATAAATATTTCGAAGAAGTTCTGTCATTCATCCACGAATTATTAATGATATTATTAATGACATATTGTTTCCCGTAACTGAGCTCGGCACGTTCGAATTATTAAATAATAGCTGCGAGTAATATTTCCGAACTGTATCTGAAAGTCAACGTCGGAGTAAAAAATAATTTGTAAATTTAGATAAAATGACCGGAAAAGCAAGATTAAAAACACTTCTACAAGAATTTTGAATGATCGAGTCAAAAACGTGTATGAACTGTCATGAGGGAAGCACGTGTGTGATTATCTCCCTTCTCCCACATGGACATTTTGGGCTAAATAACAGCCTCTTCCCCCGCCTCCTCTTCAATATGATGAATTAGATTGGTGGGGTTATGCTATAATAGACCAACGTGAAATGTGACAGATGCAGCTTTGTCAAAGAAAGGAAATATGGGGGTGGTGTTTAAAAAATAAGTGACAATTATTATGTAATAAATGATAATCCTCCTTCAACAGTCAACATTTGGTCGTGACTATACTGTAATCCTATTTTTTTCGGGGGGTTTAGTTGCATAACTTTTTCTTGTCAATCCATTTGCTAAATGACATTGACTGCTGTACATGTGTTTATTTTTCTGGTGACCAAACTTATAAAAAGAATGAAACAGTACAAATTAAATTCGTTTAATATAAGTGGTCCGTAATATATGTTATGGGAAGTTTTATTGCCCGGTTGGAACATCTGTAAACCTCATAACGAGTTCTCGATTTCATCATTTTTTTGCTTAATTTGAATGCCGAATGTATATAGAGTTGACGGAAGACATTTTAAATAACGAATATTAATTACTTAACACTTTCTTTTCTTATTTTATATATAGATAAAATGATGCAAAATATGTATTTTGGTATCTTCGTATTTCTGTTTCCATATCTCTCAACTGGACTAGAAGTCCGTTGCTGTAGAAAACCACCTCCGTTGACCATCAATGGTAAAAACATATTTCAAGAGAAAGAGGGAAGTCATATTCTTGTGGCATTTGTTGAAGGAAGTACTAAGGATTCCAGAAAGCAAGTGAAAGGATTGGATTTACTCTTGAATAATTTTCAGAATATGTAAGTTTCAATGCACACTCGATCATATATAAATTATCCAGACCAGTTTCTGACACAGTCCTATTCCTTAGATACTAAGTAGCTAAAAATGGGAAAATGAATTGAATGCGTGAGCAAGACCGCGTACATTAATTTAATTAATAAGGCCGAACTATAGACGTAAGAGACCTTACCGATTATTCTCTTTTACCCAATGGCTTGTAGTTGATAAAAGCAATTTGATTGGCCAAGAGCTTACAGTTAAATCGCGCAATCACGCAACCTACAGAAAATTCAGTTATCTGCTAGCAGATAACTGAGTTATCTGCAAATAAGCCTGCGATTATTAGCAAGCGGTATATATTTAACACAAACAAATGTATAATAAAACAATTATTGAATTTGGTTTTTGCGATATATGCAAAATCTTGATCAAAGTCTCGGTAAGCGTTATGATAACGCTTACCTCGACCTTGATAATTCCGCATATCACAAAAACCTCATCCAATAATTGTTAATTATTATATAGTTGTTGGGTACAACACGTAAGGGTTTACCATTCCCAGATAATATTACGCAGTCTATAATGCTATATACCGAAATTTAAGCTCATAGGATCACTACCCTCTAGCTACATTCAGTTCATTTCACTAACATATGGTAAGTTTTAATAACGATATATAATTGGTTTGTTTTAATTCCTTTTTGTGAGAAATATCGCGTTTATTCATTTTGCCGTAGCCCTGGAGCTTCATGCACATGGCGTTTTTCGAAGGCAATTTCATTTCTTTGTTTTGGAAGAATGGTTAATATTCCTGGGTGGTCGTTCATTTGCCGTTGACGTTGGAACGGATCTAGTGTCGAAGTTTCAGAACATGGTGGGGCAAAATAAATGATCCCAATTATTTGTTTTTAAGCTTTTCAGCAGGAAAATTATTTATAAGTATGATCCGATAATATCGGGCAACGAATTTGGTACTGTCTACTGGGATTTCAAAAAATGTGACTGAGCAACAAACAATGAATGTTTGCAACATCATGATTCAATACAATACGGAAGCGAGTTTACTTATATAAAATGATGAATAAACGTTTATGCATTGCCTGTTAGTCACAATTAGCATTCATATAGTTGTAACCATAGATATCTTATATACACTAGATAGTGCATGTAATTTTTCTTCAAATCAAAAATTGAAGCCGTGATTGCAGTCTCAGGTCGTATGTTTTCTATTTCTTAAACAGGGAACTTAAACATTAAGTTAACCCTATTCCCAATACGTTATTAAACTATTCAAATGATGAAGTTATTGTTGTTTTTAAGCGTTTATTAGCAAGTGGGGACGTCCAACATGGCCGCCATCTATTCAAATTGGGGGGTAACCGCTGGAATATTCTTGGCTTCAATTTTACTAAACGAGATGCGCTATCTAGTGTATAAATACTGTGCTATGTTAACATCTAGCCTTGCGAATGGTGTTTTATACTTGCATCTCTCATCATCATCTGCTCTGTCCTCATAATTGTGAAAAATGAACTGTTATGTACCCCCCCCCCCTTGCTTGTTAGAGAAGTAAACTGATGAGAGCACTGGATGAGGGTCTATCATCTATGGTCTGTTATAATTTGCTTTTTATGCAAATAATGAGCAAAAATTAAAGCAAAACTGTACAAGTTACATATATAGTACTATATCAGTACTATACACGAACTTTTATCGATGGATAATTTTGCGAGTTTTCATCCAATTCAATCATATATATGCTCAAAATCTTCGCGGTAAGTTTCTCTTTACCATAAAATTTGAGCGAATAAGTTTCGAAACAATGCCACGGCAAAAAATGCAAAAATCCTGATTTTCGTAATAGAATCTATAGTCTTTTTGCCCTGTTGTACCGCCATCTTGGATTTATCATGTAGGCCCCGCCTGCGCTAGGTATGCGTTAGCAATCTAGATCTCCTATATCTATGGTATATAAGATATCTGTGGTTGTAACCGAATAATCATTGTAAATTAAAAATGTACACCCTTTCAAATTCAAATGAACCGTAATCTACAGCATATTGTAGTAATTTGACAGTCGTATAATTTCTCGAATTAATGAATGCGTGAAAACACAAGGTCTTCTGCACATGGGAATTTAGGATAATTTCTATTTGTATGAACAAATACACAACTCAAAGAAATATGTTTAAAGTAAGCATTATTCAAATCTGCATAAGATATAAAATGGGCCAGCTTACTGCAGAGCAACGAACATTTTTTTTAAATATTCGTTGCTCTGCAGTAAGCTGGCCCATTTTAAATCTTATGCAGAATTTGAAAGGGTCGGTACATTTTTTTAATACACCCTGTAGTGCTTCTACTTCATATAATTAAAACCCTCTTGTAGCCATTTGTATGGGTTTAAGTCATTAATATTCGTGCATTTCAAAAGCGAAATTATCTTAATATATGGCATATCTACAGCGTGTATAAAAAAACTGAACCTTACAAATTCAAATTAGCTATAACGTATTGTAGTAATTTGACAGCTCTAATTGCTTTGAATTAATGGTTGGGTAAGAACACAAGGTCTTGTATTCATGGGACGAAACTCAAAGAAATAAAAATTGTGTTCTTACCCAATCATTAATTCAAAGCAATTAGAGCTGTCAAATTACTACAATACGTTATAGCTAATTTGAATTTGAAAGAGTTCAGGTTTTTTTTATACATCCTGTATATAATGCCTATGGTGAGAATGTTTTATTAATATCCATTCTCAAAACCGCTAAACTCTTGGCAGTGCCAGACGTACAGGTCTATATACTAGTCTAAATAGGTGAGTAATTCCCTCATAATTAGTGGACAACACATGCACTCAAACTTTGATCAGTCCAAACAAAGATCGGCTTCTATAACTACAAAATAATATTTTGATATTTTATTAACTTTAATTCCATAAAATATCTTCCACGCTAATAAGTCTAAATATGGCGATTGCGGAGCAGTCAACATTTTTTCCTCAAGAGAGGGTTGCATGGTTAGCGGTTGATCAGTGGCCTTTTGTGATTGGTTTGCTGCAGCATGGACCCTTGATGTGTCTTCGGACTTCGGTAAATACCGTTGAGTGTTCACAGGAAAGGCAAAGCGAATTGATTCGAGCACAGTTGGCTTTTAATATTTAGAGTTGGTCTAATTGGCAACCGCAGGCTTTATGTTCATTATCCTAATTTCGCTCGCGCAACCATCAACAACTTTTATTTTCCGACTAAATCAAGATTGCTGTTGACTCAGCTGAACAGTCGCGTATAAAAGGTCCACTATCGACGAGTTTCCACCGCTACAAAAGCAGTCAAACAGCATTACTAACGCTTTTCGGCAACCTAAAAATCGCAGGAACCACGTTTTTCCTAATTTGAGGTTAGTTTTCCTCTGGTACATTTTAGGACTTGTTCAGGCTTCTCAGTTATATTTGTAACAGTCTCTAATATAACAGCGTATTCTACGAAATGCATAACAACCAGTGTACAAGAACATATATACGGTAACTGGTGCTATAGCTAGTGGCAGAGTCTTTAATTGATCTCAGTACATCTTTGAAATATTCGGAAAAAAAACAATTTAAGCTTATATAGTCATCAAAATAAGAGCAGCTGGATAAACAATATAGTAAAATGTATTTTGAAAGTGAATAAGTTATACACTTGAAATGAGAGATATTGATGATTATACCACCCGGTGAAATATTCAAGATCAGTCTGAGCTGCGAGTACGTACTACTTACCATATATATCTATGAGGCGTCTTTGTTCCTCCTTTTTAACTTGTAGAAGGAAAACAAAAACAAAAGCAACAGTTTTTGTTGCTATAGTGCATGGAAACTTGTGTTCTAAACACGCGATGATTTGCCCATCCGCATTTTCCCTTGTACAGGACAGAATAGGAAGATATTAAGTAGTTAAGTGATGTAATATTAATGTATTGAAATGTAACTCAATCGAATTCCTCCATGTAGGTACAAGGAAAAGTGGTAGTTTCAGTATATACCTATACTTTATGTATGTGCATTGTTCCGTCATTGAGTTAAAGGGCATATATGACTCGAAAATTGGCGTTGTTATTTTTTGTCTAACTTGAAAGATCATTGAAAACTGCAGAGTAACTTCTTTGACAGATTTTTATTTTCTTGCTTCGTTTTGGAGATATTTCAGTTTGTGTGATATGCAAAGGACCAACTATGCATAATCATGGGCGTACGGGAAGGAAAAAATTAGGCTGGCGGAAAGAAATTTGCCCAACTTTTTCGGATTGTGCCCGAGTTGTCAAAAAAAATTTCCGGAGAAACTTTCCAAAATTGTTGTCGACGGGGGGAGGGGGGGAAAAGTGATTACGAAAAATTCCTATTGGATAGCAGATTTCCCACAAAATTGACAGAATTTCCCACAAAATTGACAGAATTTGTCCCATTTACTTTTATAATAAGCCAATATTGCCCGACTGTGAAACGAATATTGCCCGACTAGCTTTGTTTACCCAACAAACTTGGGGGAGGGGGCTGCCGCCCCCTCCGCCCCCCCCCCCGCCCGGTACGCCCATGTGCATAATGACTTACTTTAAAATGTTATTTAATTTTATCACTATCAAGTAAATTCGCTCAAAATGAATGATGCATGAGCACGCGATTTGTCCACAACAACACCCATGCAGGGTTTCTACTGATTGTGCGACGTAGAAGTTGGTCCTTTGCATATCATACAAAATGAAAATGCCCTTGCGTTAAGGGAGAAAGGACGAAGTTGTAATTATACTTGATGACAATACGCTTGCAAATGTTCGGACAGTATTTTGATTTTTGATAAAATCCATTTTCTTCAAACATAGAAGCTCCTACCTTCTTCTTTATATATGGTAGACATCACTACTATATTTCAATAATGGTAACCCATACTATTACTAGACATGCATATAATGAGCTATATAATTGCAAAGACCAGCTGGATAAACAGAACAAAATTTTTTGAATAAAAACACGTTATACGCACTTAAAATGAGTACCTGATTGCTAACTATATAAGAGAATAAGTACAGTTTGTCTTACTTCAAGATCGCCACTACAGCCTCTTTAATCTCTGGATCTTCAGTGCAGGATTCCTTCAAAGGATTAAACAAGCTGTAGTGGTGATCCTGTTGTGAACAGTACTATATTATTTCTTCTTTCCAAATGATATCGAGCACTCTTTAGCATTTTGTGAACCAAAACGTTTTTGGAAAGTATCCAAGAGCAAGTCTTAAAAATGGTCTAATTAAGTGTTTAGATAAAGGATAAATATTATATTTTGTATTCATTTATGAACTAAAACCGATCATATTTTTTTTCAAAATATATTGGTAAAATTATCAGGCCATCCTATTAATAGAAAAAGATAACACTTCTGCAAAAACGTCAATTGCTGTTAATTGCTGTTTATATGGCACTGTGCAATGCATCACGCCTAATAACACGCACGGCAATATTGTGATGCGTTGGGATCAAAAGTTCAATGTTAAATCTCTTACAAATTAATTGTCGTTTTGTTGATTTTAATAAGAATTAAAATTCTTAAAAAAATAATCGGGATGGTCATTTCGTCAATAGTATACTGCATCTTTTCGACAAGTACAATTTAGAATAACACTGGTAAGTTTAAGTTTTCGATCCCATTACTTGTTTCGTATTGTTTATATAAATAAAAGGCTTTTCCTAGTTGTTGCACTTGGGTTTCCTAGAAAAAAGGCTTACATGTCGATTAAAGATTCACCAGCATGGAAACCACGCACAATCTGCAGACGTCCCCAATCCTCAAAGAGGCCTAGCGGCTAATATTAGGCTGAGAGCCTCCAGGCAACACCTATATTAGCTATTACGTTTAACTGTATGGCGTTCTACTCAGCTTCCAGAAGATAAAAATCTCTTCTTCTAAACTTCAGGGGTTTTTTTTCATTTCAACTGAATAGTTTGCATGTTGTTTATTCAAATGTTCATTTTTCGATGAAGATGTATGCTGGTCAGGTTCAGGTAGGATTTGAATGCATGAAAAGGACTAATTGAAACTCTTAACTTTTACCTACAAATATCTGCATCTAACAATCAATTGACGGCAAAGTATATCGTGACATAAGATGGCAACAATATTGTAAAAATTGTATATTTCAGGGATGTTTTGGATATTAATTTCATGGCAATCAACAGGAAGAATGACAGTGGAATTAGACATCTTAGACGAAAAGCCGAGTTTGACGTATATCAAGAACCAGAGGAAAGCAAAGTTTGGGATGAATTAGGAGTGGGAACAAATGATTTTATTATTTTCGATCATTGTGGCTATATGGTGGGCTCGGCGACTTTTCCAAATAATCTTCTCTTGAAACAAAAGGGAAGGTAATAGTACCATTATAAACTTAGTAATTATGATATTACAATAGTACATTTATTACAATAGCACCAATCTCAAACAAACTTGTATTTGATACAATTGTTTGTTTTGCTAAAGTACTGGGTGCATGCAAGTACTCTGAAAAACAGTTCAAAATATCCAGCGACTTTTTATAATTTTTTTGACGTATGATGGCAATTTGCTTTGTAAATGGTTAGTTTTTTTGAAAAATTGCTTTTCACATTCTTTTAATTGTCCGCATTGGTTAACAAGAATTAGATGCCACCCAAAAAATGGCGGATATTCGTCATCGTGAGAAAGGCTAATTAAGCCTGATTTCCATTAGGGGGAATTTAGCGCGCGGAGCGGAATTTTTCTTTGTCTCCTAATTTATTGGATGGATCTAATTAGAAAAGACAAAAAGAAATTCCGCTCAAAATTTCCCCTAATGGAAAACTGGCTTTAGGAAGATGTGCGCAAAAGGCTAGCACTGAATTATTTCAGTTATCAATTAATCGAGTGTTGTCTTCATTCCAGGGTCTGTACGGACAAGTTGATACGAAACACATATACGAAGCCACCGTGTAAGAAATATTGGGAATGTTTTAAAAACCAACAGGAACAACTGGAAGAAGAAACATCGCAAGGAACAGAACCTGATGTTTTCAGCATTGTCGAGTCAAGTGGTGGGAGCTTCAATTCACCGTTGGAGCGGACATAGTAACGCAAGCACATAGATTTTAAATTGATCTGAATTGAAATGATCCACAAATCGCCTTAAACATTTGAATTATGCTTGCAGCTTAGACCATAGTATTATTCCCACTTCAAGACGACGCAGTTACCAAGTTAAACAAAACTGAACCACAATACGGCTGAACACATCCATTCCCGTTTTAAATGAAATTTCTTTAGGCATTGCGATTTATACCGCACAATATTAAAGACAAACAGAAAGCAATATGGCTTTGAGAACTCCGACAACAGACCTACGATGCAGTGAATGTAAACAATGAAGGATGCGTCTGATTATTTCTGCCAGCCCACGGGTTTTTCATGGCTAGTTTCACGCCCACATACTGATGCCTGTTCCTGGTTCTAACTTACAGGGAAGAAAAGGAAGTAAAACTTATTTTGTAGATAACAATGCTTATTTACCATCTGTTTTACTCGTTTGCAGCCAGAGACACCCAGAAGGACGGAAGGAGGACCCATGAACGATTGAGTGGCCCGTAAAGTATACATACTGATAACTTTAAAATACTTTTAAAAGACAACTGCATGACTCCAATGATAGGCTATTTAGCGAAAGTTATCCCGCGTCCCTCTTTATAATTACATTTCTTCTTGGCTACTGTTTCTTCATTATTATACGGATGTATCTTTTCGATGTTTACTAGTTATGTAATAAACATATTAATAAAAATACTATTTTAACGACGATTACATTGTTTCCATGTGGCATAAATGTCCATCAGCTTGATCCAATATACTAGAGGTTCGAGGATGAGCATAAAAACATTCTGGCTACCTGATATATTAAGGTACTATCATACGAATACTGTAAGTAAAGTCTATCTCTAATCAGTCTTGGCACTGTCCTCCTCGAATATAGTATCAATGATAATTGATCTCATAAATCTATTTTGGCGGGTCTTTCAAATAAAGATTAAGACTCTGGATCTCAAAACAATATTTACACATTAATCTTTGGCTAAAATTTCCCTAGCGAAAGTTGATAATTCATTGAGATCTAAAAAGAACAATTGCGCAATTAAATAGCAATATTATTATAGAGATAATTCAATTAATAAACTTCGACCTCTGTAAGCGCGAAAAACACATGGGCGTGTTCATTATAACATGGATGCATAAACAATATCATAATAATAACACATTTATAATAATGAAGTGGCTTTAATTCCCAAAGAAGTTAAGCATTCTCTACAGACAACTTTATTTAACATTAAAAAGTTTAAAAATTCAATGAATTCTAATACTCATGTTATTATTATTATTATTATTATTATTATTATTATTATTATTATTATTATTATTATTATTATTATTATTATTATTATTATTATTATTATTATTATTATTATTATTATTATTATTATTATTAGTCATACTAATATTGTTATTATGTAGAGTGTTAATTCAAGTAGACACTGGTAAACTACCTGTAAAGAGAGGTTTATCATTGTAGTGTGTATATATATTATTGAAAGTAATAAAGTTTCCATTATTATTATTATTATTATTATTATTATTATTATTATTATTATTATTATTATTATTATTATTATTATTATTATTATTATTATTATTATTATTATTATTATTATTATTATTATTATTATTATTATTATTATTATTATAGAATGGGATAACCCACAACTAATGTCATACTAATATTGTTATTATGTAGAGTGTTAATTCAAGTAGACACTGGTAAACTACCTGTAAAGAGAGGTTTATCATTGTAGTGTATATATATATATTATTGAAAGTAATAAAGTTTCCATTATTATTATTATTATTATTATTATTATTATTATTATTATTATTATTTTTATTATTATTATTATTATTATTATTATTATTATTATTATTATTATTATTATTATTATTATTATTATTATTATTATTATTAAACTTTATTTAAACACGATACTATTTCACAAACTACTTACATTTAATTTAATTATGTATAAAAGAGAAGGAAAAGAAAAATGTGATCTTCCAATAGGTCGTGTGTTAAAATATCTTATAAAACTATCTACAATATACATATAGACTATTCAACATAATATTACTTACTAATGTAACAAATGCTAACAATATTTATTATTAGCATGAAAAAATTACTGGATGCTGATTGGTTGAGAGGAGTACAATTATTTCATTAATTGTACTGCAGTACAATTTCCCAAAACAAACAAAATGGTGGAAAGGTATCATAAACACAAATGTGAAATGAAATTGCCCTAGAAGAACTAGACGAAAATACGAACAAAAGCACGAAATGTTGCTTTAACAAAAGAACTAAATGAAAATACGAAAAAAAGCACCAAATGTTGGTTGAAAGTCTGGCAGGATTGGACTTTGGCGAGAGAATATGATGTTGACATTGAGAAGTATCCAATTTTGTCATATGCTAATAATAAACAAGTAATCATGCGATGGCGAGTACAATTAGGGATTAATTGTACTCGTGATGTTTGGAAATTTGCCAAATTGTACTCGCCCCGGCGGCTCGTCCAATTTTGGCAAAATTTCGAAACATTACTCGTACTATTAATCCCTAATTGTACTCGCCATCGCATGATTACCTATACTAAAATGTACTCTCAATTGATAATCTTGAGTTTTGCTTTAAAAATATTAACAGTTTCAGAATTTTTAATTTCACTTGGAAGAT